TTTTTTTTTCTTTTTTCTCATTTCTTTAAGCCAACAACTCCAATTTCTCGATTTTTAGAGAAATTTTAAGATTGTCCCTTTTTGGTAAAATTTTAGTCAAATTTAATTGAAAACGTGTCAATGAACAAAACTAAGTAGCAAAACTGAGGCCAATTTTGGGAAAATTCCTTTATTAAAGCCTTTGTTTATGCATTGTTTCCTTTTTTAGTAAATTGTGTTTTCGTTATATCTCGATCAATTTAGATTTGAATTTCGTTTGTTGGAGGATAATCTTTAGAGCAGGACTCTCAATTTTAGTCATTATCTTGATTTTTTCCATTTTTGGAAAAAAAATTTCATTGGAAATATTAAGGTCATCAGTGAATATAACATATACTTATATTTAACATTCACCAACAAATGTGCAATGCACGTTTTTCTCACTAGTAAAAAGGAAACAAAGGGAGAAAAAAATCCTTACTAAGATGGTCTTTCGATGCAAGTTCATATGTATTTTTCATGTCCTGTACGTCATTGTAACACCGGTTCTATCAATCAAAAGAATATTTAGGTAGGGCCATTGTGCTACATAAGGAAGCTGCCTTCTTCTTTTAGATCTCTGTGTTGACAGTTGATTGTCCCTTTTGTTGTCACATTTTGTAGTACTCGTTACATCAAAAGTCAGGTCCGAGTGATTATTTTTGGTAATCTATATGTCAATCATAGTAAGGTCTTTAATATGTTAACAAGTAATGTGTAGCAGGTAAGAGTGATTGACTAGAAGTATGGTAGAAGTCTTTTGTAAAACATATAAGCATTGCAGCCAGTTATGGTATATATGTACTGACCATTTTCATATCAAAGAATCTATCTTTCTCTTCCTCTTTCTCTCAAGAAATCATTAGTGGTATCAAAGCCTGAAAAAGATCTAGAGGAAAAGCAAGGTAAAAAGATAGAAAAAGAGAGAAAACAAGTGAGGTGTCTTCCACTACAACCTTTCACCAAATTAGCCGTGTGTTTCAAGAAGCAAAAGAGATGGCTTCAAGTGGATTTTCAGCTCCATTACCTTTTGTATTTATAGGGGACAATTATGACTTTTAGACTGCGAAAATGAAAGATTATTTGAAGGCTTATGACCTGTGGAAAATAACTGAAACAGGTACTAAAACACCACCCTTAAGAGCAAATCTTACTATAGCTCAATTGAAGCAACATAGTGAGGAGGTTGCAAAGAAATTCAAGGCCCTCTCCTGCATTTAATCAATTGCTTCTGATGCAATCTTTACCGGGATAATCACTTGTGAGGTAGTCAAGGAAGCCTGGGACAAAATGCAAGAGGAATTTAGGGGTAATGCAAGGACAAGACAAATGTAAGTCTTGAGCTTGAAAAAGGAGTATGAGGGCCTAAAGATGAAAGAGTCAGAATCTGTCAAAGATTTTTCTGATAGGTTGCTGAAAGTTATGAACAAAATAAGTTTGTTGGGAGATAACTTACGTGATAGGAGAGTTGTGAAGAAAGTCCTAATCACTTTGCTAGAAAAATTTGTGGCAAAAATATCATTACTTGAGGACTCAAGAGACCTGTCAACTATAACCTTGTCTGAGCTGGTAAATGCTCTTCATGCTACTGAGCAAAGGAGATTAATAAGGCAAGAAAAACAGGTAAAGGGTGCCTTATTTGTCAAAGGAAAATACAAAGCTCAAACCAGCTTTGGAGTGAAGAAGCAATTACCTGAGAAGAAGAGAGTTGAATGCAGTAAGAATGCTGGTAAAAGTGAGGGTTATCCACCCTGCTCTTATTGCAAGTAAATCAGTCATTCACCTAAATGGTGTTGGTATAGGCCTGGTGTACAATGTAGGAATTGTAAACAATTTGGACATGTGCAAAAGGTGTGTAAAAATCAGAAGGAAAAACAGAATCTACAGCAAGCACAAGTGGTAGAGGATTAGCTACAACATCAGGAGAAACATCTATTTACTGCTATCAATTTGGTTGCTGGACAGTGAGTGCACTCATCACATGGCCCCAGACTCCAGTAATTTTGTTGAATTAAATGATGCATACAGATCAAGTGTTAAATTTGGCAATGGAGAGTATTTGGAAGTGAAAGGAGTTAGAGTGATTGCAGTGAAAACTCCATCAGGTACCAAGCACATAACTGATATTCTTTATGTTCCTGATATAGATCAAAACTTGATTAGTGTAGGCCAATTGATTGAGAAAAACTATACTTTGATATTCAAAGACAAAGGCTGCACTATATTGGACACAAACAATCAAGAATTGATGACTGTTGATATGAAGCATAGAAGTTTCCCTTTTCAATAGAAAAATGTAACCAATCATGCACTTGCTAGTATTGAAATTGAATCCTCGCTGTGGGACAAACGCTTTGAACATGCAAACTATACCTTACTCAATTACATACATGAAGTTGAGCTTGTAGAAAACATGCCTGAAATTAATAATGATGGTTGTGTGTGTGATGTTTGCCATCTTGGGAAGCAAACAAAATTTCCATTTCCCAAAAATTAGTCAATGAGAGCTTCAAATAAATTGGAATTGATCTGCTCAGATGTGTGTGGACCAATGAAAACACCTACACTAAATGGGACCAGGTACATTGTACTCTTTATTGATGATTTAACAAGGGATCTACTTCTTGAAATCAAAATTTGAAGGGACAACTACATTTCAGAAGTTTAAGAACCTTTTGGAAAATGAATATGACTACAAGATCAAGGCTATCAGGTCAGACAATGGCACTAAATATTGCTGTAATCAGTTTGATATTTTTTTGTGAAATTGTGGGGATCAAACACCACCTGACTGTGCCTTATTTCCCTTAGCAGAATGGTGTATGTGAAAGGAAAAACATGACAATCATGGAGATGGCCAGGTGTTTGATACTAGAGAAGAAAGTTCCAACGAAATTCTGGGCTAAAACTATAAACACAGCTATATATCTACTTGATAGATTGCCTACAAAAGTCTTGGACAAAAAGACACTTTATGAAGCTTGGTATGGAGTAAAACCTGATGTTGCTCATCTAAAAGTTTTTGGCAGCATATGTTTCACTCATATTCTAGATTTAGACAAGAGCTAAGTAATTTATGTTTTCAAGCTGCAAAGAGAGTTCTAAGGTATATTAGAGGAAATGCAGAGTTTGGAATCTGGTTTAGGAGGTCAGAAAATTGGTTTTTGATTGGCTATACTGACAGTGATTGGGCCGGATCATGTGATGATATGAGAGCACATCTGGATATGTATTTTATCTGGGATCAAGTCCTGTTTGCTAGAACTCAATGACACAGAAAATCGTGGCTCAATCAACAGCAAAAGCAGAGAATGTGTCTGCATCAAAAACTAATAACCAGGCAATCTGGCTAAGGAAAGTTCTGGATGATCTAAACCATAAGCAACTTGATGCAACTGTGATTTAATGTGACAACCAATCTGCTGTGGCTATGGTTAAGAACCCGGTGTTCCATGGAAGAACAAAACATATTAACATAAGGCATCATGCAATTAGGAAAGCACAGGAGAATCTTGAAGTAAAGCTGGTGCATTGCAATTCTGAGGTCCAATATGCTGACATCCTAACAAAATCCTTGTCCAAAGAAAGGTTTGAAACAATAAGGAAATGCCTTGGTTTTTCCAACAAAAGTGTCAAGGAGGAGTGTTGATAGTTGATTGTCAATTTTGTCGTCACATTTTGTAGCACTCTCTATATTAAAAGTCAAGTCCAAGTAATGTATTTTTGGTGATCTATATGTCAATCATAGTAAGTTCTTTAATCTGTCAACAAGTAATGTGTAGCAGTTAGGAGTGGTTGACTAGAAGTATGGTAGAAGTGTTTTGTAAAACATATAAGCATTGTAGCCGGTTATGGTGTATATGTATTGATCATTTTCATATCAATAAATATATCTTTCTCTTCCTCTTTGTCTCAAGAAACCATCACTCTGCTGTATTTCCAAAAGTAGAGTCTCCGGTATTCTTGAATGTCTCCTGGCGCTTATTAATGGACAAAGGTTTATTGTTATTTTGTCTTATGTGTGTTATCCCAATGTTTTTTTAGTAGAAATATTTGGTTGAATCAGAAATTAAAATACTGTATTTTAGTCTAAATTTTTCACGTACTTACAAGAAAATCTAACTAATTGTTCTGGTAATCTATCATATTCTTGATTCTGATCTGTACATGCCTATCGTATTAAAATGTACACATCACATGAATCATGGAGTATCTTCTCGTATCATACAAAATAAGATAGAAAACAACTCATGCAATTGATAATGCAATGATTTATGCATATAATGCATATTTTAAAATGTAATAAAATTACACCTTCTATTTCTTTATCGAAATATCTCTTTCAATTTTGGAATTTTCACTTGTCTGTATCAGTAAGATAAAGAGGAAAGTTTCACAGGTTACGCTATTTATTTATTTATTTTTTTTAAATCTTAGAAATCCCTAACTCTATTTAGAAGCTATTGATACTTTGATGACAAAGCAACAGCAGAATCCATAATTGAAAGCATTTTGTTCATTAAATCCCGCTAGGCTATTACCTAGTTCTTTGGTGAACTTACTGGCATTCTTTTAAATTAGTTGTGCACATGCTAGTTTTAATGTGAGGGAAATGTTTCTGGTATATTTAAATAATAAATATTTGGTTCTATCTATGAGTTTAAATTTTAGAATCAAGTGGTTCAACACTAATAGCATCAACCATCATGTCACGTTAATCTGTGGACGGAATCGATTTTAGTGATTTACTGGGTCAACATTATAACATCTAGTGACTGAGTATTGACATTTTAGAATTAAAGGATTACATGTGAGCATGACTATAAGTTCAATGAAGAACCAGGTTTTTAACCCAAATCCTGCTTATATTCTGAAAATTGCTAGTGTTTCACACCAGATTCCTTCTGATAACAAACTTGTCTATTCCTAATATAGTTATTTTTGCTAATACTCCTAAACTCTAAAAGTCCAATATTTAGCCCCTTGTTTGGAATAGTGATTTTTTGGAAAATGTATGGTTAAAAAGTAGAACTTGCAAAATATTTTATTGTGAGAATACGAATAAAAATGAGCTTTAGAGGGAAAAAAAATAAAGAAGATTTTTGGAGAATCGTAAACAAACAGGAACGTTAAGCCCGTTAATCACTGAAATTAATTTTGAGTCCAAAATAACAATGACTGATATGCCTCACAAAATGCTTACATGTGGCATAACCTTATGGACGTTAACATGTCCTGCAAGATGGTAGCTCGTTTGAGAGTACCAATCTCGAAATTTGATTGTTTTGAAGCTTTAGATGGATCGATTGCTCGTTTAGGTTTTTTGGGCTATGGTAGATCTCGAGTTCCACGTTAGAAGATCAACTAGGTTTTTAGTCGTGACTTTTTTAATATATATTTCATCAATCATGCAAAACTAAAACGACATTAGTATGATCAATTTTCGAACAGTAAAGTTGTTATTCAATTCAATCTACATGCTTTGTTATGGAGCCAAAGCTGGTAACTGGACTTGTATGTCCTATACTTGTAGTAATTGGACTCCTGGCCTCATTGCCATAAACAAAATTCAATTATAAATACAACCATAATGAAGTTCAAGATTTAACGAAATATGTATACAGTTAGAGTTGCATTACTCTTTATTTTCAGTGCTTCCTGCTTTCGGTTTTTCTCGACTCTCGTTAAATTCCTTGATAAGGTATGGTGGACTCCAATTCGATTACGGGGTACGATGAAATCACAGAGATTTAGAGGTCCTCCTTACACATTTCCACATGGGAATACCAAAGAAATCACTAAACTGAGAAGCCAGTCCATGGGAAAGCCCATGGATATATCACAATGTATGTAAGTGTTATACCCTAAGTCCAATCGACTTTGGACATAAATACCTTTTAATATATAGTTGATGCGATTAATAGCAGATTTATTATTTAATTAATTAATATTCAATTAAATTAAATAATGGAGTCAGTAGATTCAAATTTTAGTAATTTGTTAATCATAAAGAGTTAGAGTTGTGATTGTGATATACAAATTACATATGATTGAATCTTAAATCATACGTGGTCATAAGTAATGACGAGATATGAATATCGTTATTACGGATAGGCCAACATGTGTGGCATTTCCTACTTGTGAAGAAAGTAGCCTCACAAGTTAAAGTGTGGTGACACTTGAATGAATACGTAAATATTTTGTTATAGAACAAAAAATTGGAGACCCGCCGAGAGATTTCAGATAGATAACTATCTGAGTGCCACTGGTTAATCTCTAACGTTCAGTAATGGAATTGGTCCTTTGACTTGAGGTAGTCATAGTGCCTTATATGAGAACATTCATATTTTGACGGTGTTGGATGTTGCTCTGCCAAGGGCCACTAATACGGCATCGTTCGGGTATGTCAAGAATCATATGAAAGTTGTGAATGATCAATAAATGGTTCGTCACTCTTAGATAGTAAGAAATTGTGATCTACATTTCATTCAATTAAGTCAATAGCGAAATCCTTAGTTAAGGTGTACTCAAAAGTTGAAAAGGAGTTTTTTTATATTTACTTAATAGTGGTATGAAAGATATGATCGATAATCAAGATTGACACACTACCATATCTCGTAATTAATCGAATCATATTGACGAAGAGATTATAATTTCACGGTAAACGAATGAGTTTGGTTTTGTCATACTACGTGACATTTCTTGTCACATGTATTGCCCTGACACATTGATCGATGGCAATTTGGGACGATGAGTGTGAATTAGTGGTAAATTGAAACAGTGTTTTAATTTATCAATTTTGATTAGATCAAAATAATATTTCACGTCGTTAGGTTCGTGATCGGGAACCTGATAGGTCACACACAAAAGAAGAGCTAGAAGATTATGATTTATCAATTAATTAATTTAACAAGCGTTGAATAAATTAATTAATTGAGTTGCTTATTTACAGGCGCGAATTAATTAATTAATTAATTAATTAATTCACGGACTAAATTTAATTAAATATTGGATTGGGTTAGGTCAAGCCTGTTTGGGCTTATATAAATATTACTAGGTTTTCAAAATCTATAGAAAATTCATTCTTGCTAGCACAGAAAGGGAAAAAAAACCATAATCCTATAATCTTGTTTTCTATGTGGATCACCGTTAGAGGCTGGACAATTGACAGTTGTGGGTGACGAATCAAGATTGTTGAAACAAAAGAATAGCAAAAGAGTTTGCAGATCTCGTAAAAGGTTCAATCTTTATCACAGTTTTTATCTAAACACAAAATAGATCTTTGGTGGG